AACAACGTCGACCCAAGCAATACCAGGAGACGCAGGTGTCGAAGCTGAGGCAAGCACAGAAATAGGCGTTGAGGATGTGGAAACGGACGAGGGACTGATAGAACGACGAGCACGCATTGTCGCCTACACTCTCGCGCGCAAAAGTGTAATCGATATGATCGGAGGAGTCAATGGAAGGAAAGGTAGCAGGGGTTATCAAAAAAAGATGAATTCCCACCAAGGTATGGCACACCTTGAACATGATGTCGAACGAAAGATTTTCCGAGCAGACATGGGCGATGTACTTCTTGGGATGATGCGACGGGTGGCTGTTGATACGCTCATCACACGCTCTTGCAGGGAAGGCTTATGGGCACCAAACAAATTCATAAGGTCTGTTGCCAGCTGGGAAGAGGCGAAGAACATCCCAGGAGGTGGAGCAATTCTTTATATTCCGAAGGAGGATATGAAGGACATGAACAGTTATGCGACTCTTGATATAGCAGATGCTTCTTATGGCGGTAAGATGGCAGTTCATGATCTGCGATACTTACTAGGAGAAGAAGAGCTTGAGAGGTTGAGAGAGAAGTCACAGGTATTCCGAGACCATGAGATTTTGGTGTTGAAGAACTTCAGAAGTGGAAGCATGCGAGCTCTGCATTTGCTTCTTTGGAGACTGCAAGGATACTTGGCGTTGCCTCAAATTGGGCCCATTGAGGGGAAGCAATACTAAGGAATGTAAAATAGAAATGAGATACCATGAATGAACATCAAGATGAGTTGTATTGTCTGCCGCATGAGATATGATGTTTGTCCGGCCGGCCTCCAATCACGGCCCGGCCCCGCAATTGCCGATGGCGCCAGGTGTCACCGCCGCCGATAGACTCCGAAGGTCAAAGATCCGATACGAGTTAGACTCGGTAGCACAGCGCTGTGATTATTTGTTCGGTACCCGTGTATCGGACCTGTTAGATATCCGTTCGTTCTTTGCATTTATTTTTGAAGAATACTCTTTTGATCCCATTTGAGCGAATTATTGTTCAGCATTTGATCGTTTGCAGGATTTGATCTCAGCATACCTTTAGATAAGGATCACGTTCAGCGAAGCTCTTACTCTCATTCACCAAACACAACTCAAGAACCAAGCACGACCAAACTTGCAACTCAGAGGATCAAATCAAAATTGGACATCGACCATGGACACGAACCCTGAAATAGTCCAGCCTGCGGACTGGCAGACCGGCGAAGCTGTCCCAGTCTTTCTCATCCACGATGGCGGCGGCACCACATTCTCATACCACTGCTTAGAACCTCTCCGTCGCCCGGTCTACGGCATCTATAACCCCAAATTTCACAGCGGCGAGCCTTTCGACGGCGGCCTCAGCGACATGGCCCGTCTCTACACAGGCTGGATCAAAGAAACTGTCGAAAAGCCTGACTTTCCCAGACGTCGCAACGCAGCTGGAAAGATCCGACTTCTTCTTGGCGGATGGAGCATGGGCGGCCACTTGAGTCTCGAAATCGCAAAGCAGCTTGAAGATTCCAACATCGACGTCATCGGAATTCTCATGGTCGACACAATCTACCCACACAGGTTCTCTAGTGAAAAGCGCAAGATGCCCAGCGAAGACTCGAAGGAGGGAAAGAACAAGAACCAGATTCTCGCGGATCTAGCTATGGCCGATGCTCGTCGTATGATTCAAGCTTGGACACCTCCGGTCTGGGAGGCAGGACGTCGGCCCCGGATTAGTCTCCTCCGGGCCAAGAAGGCCGTGCCCTCGCCGGACGGGACGGATCTTGTGGACTGGAGCCGTGAGGAGCGGAATCTGGGGTGGGATATGTACGACAAGGACTTTTTCGCTGATGTGGTGGATATTGAGGGACATCACTACGAGGTTTTCAAGTTTGAGTTTATTGAGGATATTTCGAAGAAGATGAAGAAGGCACTGGATGATTTGGAGTGGATTGCCTTGGACGGTTGAGCGTCCAGTCAGACGAGAAGGTCAAGATCGGACTTTGAAGATTTAGACGAAGACATGGTAAGTGGCTCGGCTGTTTATGCGGGCTGGCACTGATGGTTATTAGAACATGAATGAGACTTCATAGAATTAGAGAGTACAAAAGTCATAGAAATTATGAAGATACATTCAGAACCTCAATGATACAGCAGGGGTCTATATGATCCGCCGGTGTCGCTCTCAATTGGCGACAAGGATGACAATCTGTATATTTGCAAGTCGACTTCTATAACTTCAGCATAAGATAAAAACAGCAAATAAATACAGTCACATAAACTCACACGAAGAGGCCGGATCCTCGGCATCATGGACGATCTTACATTGCATCCGTAGCTTCAATCAGACGAGTTCAGTGGATAACTCTATCCAAAGTGGACTCCAACGCTTAAGCCTCCCTCCGGACTTGAAGCACCTCCCCCGAAGAACCATCTCCATGAGGCCACCCAACCAATCAAAACACTCCAATTGTCATGCGGGGAGCTCTTCACACCCTGGGCTGGGACGTCTCCCCTCGCCTCTCCCAGTCACAGGGAAGATCACAGGGACTAAATTTTGGGAAACAAAACCACAGCCGACATCGCAAGCCAGAAAAAGTCCACAACTTCATCCCACCGCTTTTACTCAGGCGTCGGACTCTTGTTCTTACCCAATTTGAGTTTGTGGTTGAAGCTTCAATTGACGTTTTTTTCCCTTTTCTCCTTCGCACGTGAAAAAGATTAGACGTCGTCATTATGCTTTCTAGGTCGTTGTTGAGGTCTAGAGCTGTGGGAGCTTTCCCCCTCTCTTCGAGAAGCAATGGGTGAGTTATTCCATCTCAAACAATCAATTGGAAGCTCAATTATCTTCTGAATACTGACTCGTTACAGCCGCTTCTTCTCCGCCTCTGCCCTCCGCGCCGATGACAAGATCAACAAGGTCTCCGCCAACATCACCCAGCCCAAGGCCCAGGGCGCATCCCAGGCTATGCTCTACGCCACTGGTCTCTCAGAGGATGACATGAACAAGGCTCAGGTTGGTATCTCGTCCGTTTGGTACGAGGGCAACCCTTGTAACATGCACCTCATGGACCTCTCCGCCATCGTCAAGGAGTCCGTCGCCAAGGCTGGTCTTATTCCCTACCGATTCAACACCATTGGTGTCTCTGATGGTATTTCCATGGGTACAACTGGTATGCGATACTCGCTCCAGAGCCGAGAGATTATCGCCGATAGTATTGAGACTGTCATGAATGGTCAGTGGTATGACGGAAACATCAGCTTGCCTGGCTGCGACAAGAACATGCCCGGTGTCGCCATTGCAATGGGCCGTGTCAACCGTCCCAGTATCATGGTCTACGGTGGTACCATTCGTCCCGGCTGCACCAAGCAGGGCGAGTCCATCGATATCGTTTCCGCTTTCCAGGCCTACGGTCAATATATCACCGGTGAGATCACCGAGGAGCAGCGATTCGACATTATCCGAAACGCCTGCCCTGGTGGTGGTGCCTGTGGTGGCATGTACACTGCCAACACCATGGCCACCGCCCTTGAGACTCTTGGCCTCACTCTTCCCGGTAGCAGCAGCAGCCCTGCTGAGGATCCTAGCAAGAAGGCTGAGTGCGAGAGCGTTGGACCTGCTATTCGCAACATTCTCAAGGAGGACATTCGACCTCGCGACATCATGACCCGCCAGGCCTTCGAGAACGCCATGATCGTCACAACCATCCTCGGTGGCAGCACCAACGCCGTCCTGCACCTTATCGCCATTGCCGACTCTGTCGGTATCAAGCTCGACATTGAGGACTTCCAGAAGGTTTCCGACCGCACTCCCTTCCTTGCCGACCTGAAGCCCTCTGGAAAGTGGGTCATGGCCGATATGCACAAGATTGGCGGTACTCCCGCTCTTCTCAAGTTCCTGCTCAAGGAGGGTATCATTGATGGTTCTGGTATCACCGTCACTGGTAAGACCATGAAGCAGAACGTTGAGAACATGCCCGGCTTCCCCGAGGACCAGACCATCATCCGACCCCTGAGCAACCCCATCAAGCCCACCGGTCACATCCAGATCCTCCGTGGCTCTCTCGCCCCTGGTGGCTGTGTCGGTAAGATCACTGGTAAGGAGGGTCTCCGATTCGAGGGTAAGGCTCGCGTCTACGACTCTGAGCCCGATTTCATTGCCAGCCTCGAGGCTGGTGAGATCAAGAAGGGGGAGAAGACCGTCGTCATCATCCGATATGACGGTCCCAAGGGTGGTCCCGGTATGCCTGAGATGTTGAAGCCTTCCTCTGCCATCATGGGCGCTGGTCTCGGAAAGGACGTTGCTCTCCTCACTGACGGTCGCTTCTCTGGCGGTTCTCACGGTTTCATCATTGGTCACATCGTCCCTGAGGCTATGGAGGGTGGTCCCATCGCTCTCGTTGAGGACGGTGACACTATTGTCATCGACGCCGAGACACGTGCTATCGATCTTGTCGTCCCTGAGGAGGAGGTTGCCCGACGTCGCAAGGCCTGGAAGGCTCCCGCCCCTCGATACACCAAGGGTACACTGAGCAAGTACGCTCAGCTTGTGAGGAACGCCAGTGAGGGCTGTGTCACCGACAGTGGCCTCAAGAACTAAAAAAGGGCTCACGAAAGCCAAATCAACTGTCAAATGTAACGATGTAATTCCTGTTTAATGGGGTGGGAAAAGGCGAATTTAGATTTTTCTGGGTCAGAACTTATATCCCAATGTTTTTTTCGTTCTTAATGCCTTCAAAGTGCCTCCTCGCTGATACGTGAAAATGCTCTGGGCTGACAAGTCTACCTAACAAGCTATAACGTAGAATGCGTATCTTGAAACAACCAGAAAAAGACCAACCACAAGAACAAAACGCAAATCCACGAATGATTGTGGATATTAGGCCGACTGAACAGAATGACCTCCTATAGCTCCTTGCAATGCGAACTCAAAACTCAACTTTACTTAAACGAAGGAATACTCTGCTGATCATATCAACCCTAGATCTTCCAACTCTTACATAAGTATTTATTTCTTTCCGTTCAAAGCGTCCACGAAAGCTGCCTTATCCTTCATTGTAAGGCCAACCCGCTTGACACGGCTTAGTCTGGCGAGTGCCTCGCCTACTCGATCAAGAACACGCTGCTCGTCTGGGGAGACACTGGAACTAGCATCACCACGGTTGCGTAGCTCGGATGAGGAAGGTGTTACACCGTTCGTCTTGGCGGCAGAGGTGTTGATCTGGCCTTCAGCAATGCGCACGCGAATACACGTCGTTGGTCGAGAGAGGAGATCCCACAAGAAGCGGAACCACTTTCCAGGCACTGGTGTCGTGATGTCGGAGGGCGTGTATCGAATGCTAACAGGGAAGATATGGACGTCGGCAGGAGTCTGAAGGATACTCGGGCTGAAAGGCAGAATAGCCTTGCCATTGGTGGTACCACATTCGGGGAAAACAGCAACGATCTGTCCAGGGTTGCTGTCTAGAAGATCCTTGATCTCGACTAATTTCGCATTTTTAGGGGGGCCAGTCTTCACAGGCGAGAGAGCTGCCAGCACAGCACCCAGCAAGCTCACACGCTGGACCTTGCGAGTATCGGGGTACGAAATGGTGAAGATTGGGTCGAAGATAGCAGCGAGGTAGATAGCATCGATAGGGCTCGAGAAGTTGGCAGCGATAACTGAGCCAGGGTGCGGGAAACGCTCGCGGGGTTGGTCGGCAAGGGTGCCACGTTTGACACCGTCGAGCTGAAGGTCAACCCACCATATTCCCGGTATGGCCATCAATCCCCATAGTGCAACCTTTCGAAAGATAACTGGCAGCGGGAGGAAGTGGAAGAAGAGGAAGTAGCCGAGGAAGTAAGCGATGAAGAATGGGAGGCGGAAGAGGAAAAGAGCGGCGTGTGTGAATGTCGCAAGCGCTGATACGGGCGTCGAGACGGGAAGAAACGGCGCAATGCCCGTTGCTAAGAATGATTAGCATGTGAATATTATTAATCCGTGGGAGACTCTACCTCTGTCGCGAAATTGGCTGTATTTTTCCATATTGTTGGTGATCGTGTGTAAGACAAGGACAAAGAGGACAAGCGGAGGGGTAAAGCTATCGAGACATGGAAGAGCTTGGGAGCTATCTCTTTATGTTATGTTGCCAGCGACGTATGATGAAGGCGATCCGGAATATCGTAGCGAGGACTAATGGGACGGCGTTGCGAGGTCAAGTTCTGCGACAGCGCATCTATTGAACGTCATGTCATGGATCGAGGGTGACATGTGAATGTGAATGTTAATATGTGGCCCCCACGTTAGGTTGGCTTGTTCTCGCGAAACGTTGTGTGCTGAGTCAGCGAGACGGCGACGTTTTTGGGTTTAGATCTTAGGTATTACACGGCTCGATATGTCTCTGGCAAGAGAATTCAATGATTAATTGATCTGTTTTAACCGTCTTGTAACTTCTACCTCAATGACTGCCATGTCATTTCTCACAAACAAAAGGGTGGGTGACTAGGATCAATTACTGGTAACAGAAGAAGCTTGAGTTTATGGTGGAGTGATGACTTGGCATCCTTCAAAGCTCCGACGAGTTCGGAGCCCGATATTTTTGGCTGATCCGTCATATCTTCCATGGTCTGAAAGCGATATGCTAACTGTATAGAATCAAGGACAAAAGCTCCTTGTCAATTGCAATCGTGATTGACCTATTTGTACGGGTCTTCTTGGAAGTAGCTTCACTGGGAGCCCAGTTCTCTACTTATACATCTCTTCTGAGCTTTGGCCCAAGACCAAGAGCTTAGAGGGTTGGCCTCTTGGATTGAACTTTCTCAATACGAACGCGCTACGAGCTCAAGATACATCTGAATTGCCAGTGCAGGCATGCACCCAGTTATTTCTGACGAGAGACTTATTGGCACTTCAACACAATTAAATTCAAGCCCTGGCGTGAAGCGTTGGAGACGTTTTGGCATTGTCTGCAGCATGATGTATGTGCCAGAATGCTACAGCCACTACGATAAGAGGAAGAAGTCGCTGCACAAGAGTATTGCCAATTGATCAATAATATTCTTTAGCAGGGTCGCATTCTGTCAAGCGCAATTATCCTATCTCTCATGTTGCAACACGGCTCATTGGCTGGTGGGGCATCTCCAGATGCGACTCGGACCCATTGCCCCGGCAACGTGTTTACATAAACAAGTAAACGCTTCGAATCGCCAATCTCCAACCGAGCTATCCCGCATCAGGCTCTTCACGAAACCAACCATAATATCACGTAGCTCCCCATGAGCTAGAGACAAAGCGTGTACTGATACCATTTTGCTTTCTACGCTACTCTTTTTTTATCCTTCGCATATTCGCAACGCCTCCTGCTACCGCCGTTTATACGGGTGCTTCACTGCTCCTTGTTTTCCATATCCTGGTCCCTGTGTTTGGGCGCATTGTTTTCACCATGGAGGAGAATCCGGTACGTTGTTTACCTAGTGCCCTCATGTTTCAGAAGCTGATGATTCTTGGGTGTAGACATTTAGGAGCTCCAAGATTAGTCGACTGCCGGCACCGTCGATGTCGATGTCAATAGGGGCTGCGGGGGGTGGACTCACGGAATGGAGCGAATCGCAACATAATGCCCGCATTGCGTCGACAGCAAGTTCGTTGTCGGCTCTGAAGAATCTGAAGCGAGAGATTCCTCAACCAGGTATGCACAACGAGCACTCATGGTGGTTCTCTCTGACATAAAGCAGCATCACAATCCGACCCGAAGCGTAAACCTCTTTCTGATCGCGCCCTCGAATATCCTTCAAAGCCGACATCGCATGTTCCCGCCGCGGCCGGTGTTAGGTCAAATATGAGGCCCCAGAGTTTGGCCGGAATGTCCTCCGGGGTGAGTCAAGATCCTTTGCGCCCTCGTTATTAGAGGGCTTGCTTCTGCTGGACATTACAATCGCATGACAGCTACTAATTCTCCCTAGCTCAAGCAACCCTCGGCCACCCAGTCACGATACGGCGCATCTTCCAATGTCTTTAGCAGAAACCAGGCAGCTCGAAACGGTGCTCCGACAGCCACATCACGAATCAATGGAGTCAACGGAGTCAACGGCGTCAACGGACGTCCTGGCCATGCCCGATCGAAGAGTCAAGCGCCTCGGCCGCAAACGGCCCATGCTCTCCGTGAAGAAGACCGATACGAAGCTCCAACCAACAATGGTACGACGACACTTTCGCAAGATACATCTCAGCCTATCACCACACTTCCCTACAAAAAGATCAGAACCTCACAGTCTTTTGCAACATTGCCAACAATCAGAGATAGTTCTCTGACTTCAAAATTCCTTGAAATGAGTCTTGAAGACGAAATCCCTGCTGGAAGTCAAGCGATTTCCCGACCCTTAACACGACAGTCTTCACAATCTTCAACCACCTCACATATTTCTAATATTCCATGCAAGCGCCGTGGTAGAGATGACCCGAATCCCATGTCAGCTTCAACCTCTCGACAGACTTCGTCAGAGCGGCCTTAGGCAGTCCCTCTGAAGCCACCGAGCAACGAGAGAGTCAAGAGGAAGCTCAATGAATTTGAAGAGTCCTTGTCTTTATCGCCAGTCAAACAATTCACATCGCCCGTCAAGAACACCTCTCCTAGCAAGTCGTTTTTGAACAAAGATTCTAATCTAACATCATATGTAGCCTGGGACGTCGATGGCCGAGTAGTTGATATGGAGTCTCAATTCAAAGAGCTCAAGGAGATGGTAAATACCACCCTGAGCGAACGAAAGGGACAAGACGATGCTCTTGAACTTGCCAAGAAGCGAGGTAGGTAGTACCGTGGGTTGGGATGTCCAGCTACTAATCAGGACTACAGTGCAAGAGTTGGAGGGTGACAGAGAGAAACTCGACCTGAGGAACGACGCACTCAAGTCCGATCTTGACGCAGCAAGAGAAGAGGGACGTCAAATCCGACATGAGATGGAAAAACAGAAGTGGGAATACCAACGACAAGTGGATGACCTGGAACGAAAGCACCGAGAAAAGATCGACGATATGTCAAGACAGCACAGAACAGCAGTCGACGAGCTTCGAAGAGAACTGGACCGACTGAAAGAGCAAGAGACGAAAGACCATGAGCAAAAGATCGAAAGTCTGACAAGAATGTACCATCAAGAGCTGGCCGAAGAGCGACAGAAGAAGGACCGCGAAATCCAGGAACTACGACTTCGAATGGGCAATGAGCATCAAGACATGGGAATAGCTATCCAGAGGAAGGACCGGGAACTTCAAGAAGTCAACTCTCAAGTGGAAGGCCTTCGAGGAGACTTGGAGCGGGAGCGTACATTGAAGAACAGCCTGCAGACCAACATCGCCGAACTATCAGCAGCCAACACAACTCTCGAGGCCAAGATCAACTCACTAAAATCGCACGTCGAATTTCTGGAATCTGACAGTAAGGCACAATCCGACTCCTTTTCCAGCATGGAAGCGCGTCTCCAAGAAGCTCTGCGCATTGCAGAAGAGGCCCAACACAAACTCATCAAGGAGGAGACGGAACGCCGAGTACTTTTCAACAAGTACCAGGAGCTCAAGGGCAACATCCGAGTTATGTGCCGTGTGCGACCTGCACTTGGAAATGGTGAGGGCGAGGAGGCCAAGATGTTGTTCCCCGATGACAAGACATCTGCTGAAATTGTTCTGGCCGGCCCTGAGGAGAAGAGTAGTTTGGGACAGATCACACGAAAGAACTACCCCTTCGAGTTTGATCGGGTTTTCGTTCCTGGCACTCAGAACCAGGAGATCTTTGGCGAGATTTCTCAGCTTGTCCAGAGTGCCCTTGACGGATACAATGTTTGTATCTTCTGTTATGGTCAAACTGGATCAGGAAAGACACACACTATGTCCTCAAACGACGGTATGATCCCTCGTGCCACCCACATGATCTACGACACCATTACCAAGCTCAAGGAGAAGTCTTGGGAGTACACAATGGAGGGTTCATTTGTTGAGGTGTACAACGAGGAGCTCAACGACCTGTTGACGCCAAATGAGCGATCGGCGAAGAGGCTCGAGATTCGGCATGACGAAGCTCGCAAGCAGACAACCATCACAAACTGCACGTCAGTCCGTCTCGACAGCCCATCAAGTGTGGAGACGATGCTTGAAGAGGCGCAGAACAATCGATCAGTGGCTGCCACCAAGGCCAACGAGCGATCATCTCGTTCTCACAGTATCTTCATCCTGAAGCTCATCGGAGAGAACTCAGCTACAGGGGAGCGCTGCGAAGGTACGCTCAACCTGGTCGATTTGGCTGGTTCCGAGCGTCTCAAGCATTCGCAGGCCGAGGGCGACCGTATGAAGGAGACACAAAATATCAACAAGAGTCTCAGTTGTCTTGGTGATGTCATTGAGGCCCTTGGTCGAGGTTCAGGGCACATTCCATACCGCAACTCCAAGTTGACACACTTGCTGCAGTACAGTCTGGGCGGCAACAGCAAGACCCTGATGTTTGTCATGGTGTCGCCTCTTGAGCAGCACTTGAAGGAAACATTGACGAGTCTTCGATTTGCAACAAAGGTATGTCTAAGCTTCCCAGGTTTCGTAAACGCAACGCTGACAGGACTAGGTGCACAACACTCATATTGGTACAGCCAAGGCTACCAAGAAGGTTCGCGATTCTACATAGGCAGGGCCGTTGTATAAACTGTCGATCACGAACGAACAAGGAGGCCGGACGTGAATAATGGAGTTGTGTTTATTTTGTTGCTTTTGAGTTGGGTCATCAGGATAGCGTCTGGAACAGAGCATCCAGGGCAGGGAGTTGGGGTGCATATATGATTGAGTGCTGTCGCCTTACTTAGTTGCATGGCCAGCTTATGATGTGTTTGTTAGGCGAGCAAGGCCATTGATTGATTTCTGGACATGGGATTGGTAGTGGAAGCTGGTTGAGCTAGCTGTGTCGATACGTGGAGATTGTATATATCAATACAGATATGGTTACGACATGGATCTATGATGATTACTAACAAGAAGTATGTTTCGTGTTGGTGATGATTTCTTGGTGTTGTTTCAGTGCGTTTGTTTGGTGCAGCCAACCGTTAACCGCCGATGGATTGGCCAATCAGGCACTACGAATCCCATGCCGTCAACCACGGACTGAGTTGAGAGTTGTTCTCTTTCATCTTGCACTTTCACGTTCATTCATAATCTCATTCATTCCTTTGTTCGCCACAGCATGTAATTTATAGAGCTAACCAACAGTTTGTCATTCTAAATCGCACCTCAGACGCATACATTGAGTTGGTGGTTATGAAATTCACGGGCTAGTGCCTTTCATTGTGACATTCGGCTTCACGGAACGAGTTGAGAGAGTAGCCCTCCAAGGGTGGGCATATGAGCCTAAGAGAATCTGGGGAAGCTGTTCGAACAATTGAAAGCTCCAATTGTGCGCTTCTGCGCTCATCTGCTTTACATTCACTTACGCGGCATCTCGCTCATGGTAATTCCTCACCCTCACAAATCAGCATCATATCTTCTTCGGCACCGAAAATCGATATGTCCAAAGCACCAACGGGTCTTCAAGACTCAATCTGGGCCATAAACGGACGCTCCCGCCTCGTAAACTCGGCTCCTTCAACGCGCTCATCTTCACAGCCTGTACGCGCATCCTCTCAACCTTCACGCCCCCCACCCTCCTCAGCCCCTCCAAGAAACCCGGTTTCGATAACAACATCGACTACGCGCTTGAACCCAACCCAGGCTTTTCACCGCTTCGAACAAGCCTGTCAGCGTTTACGGTGGAAGTACATCGATCTACAGACTTCGTACCACCGCGCGTTAAATCCAGAGGAATTTGGGTTCTTGGTCACAGACGCGGAGCGGAATTTTAAAGTTGACTTCCATGAGTTTTACGCATGGATCGAACAAGCGCTTGTTCTTCTCCTCATGGTCTTCGGGATATCAGTATCGCGCGGCAATTTATACAAAACGGGAAATCACACATATCACGAAAATGTACTCACGGAGCTAGAAATGCCAGACTGTCCGGTCCACGAGGCGCTAGGGAAAGGGGAAGTGAGCCAAGCCCTTCGTAAGGCGAAAGAGCTTCGTAATCGTTGGAAGGACGTTACTGAGGGCAAGGAAACGCCGCCGTTAAAGATGTATGATCTGACGTGGCTTGTTGGGCAGATCTTGGGGGGCTTGGAGATTGGGTATGGGATCGCGGCGGGGAGGATACAGGAGGCGACAGAGAGGCAGTGGGATGATGGAGATGAATATATGGGCATGGGAGAGGTTCAGGGGGATGATGAGTGGGAGTGGATGGTTGAACCGATGGATTGGGAGGTTGCGTAGCGATACTATAAGTCGTTGGATGATGAATTGGATGCTGGAGTGAATATGCATGGCGTAAGATAGATATTCATCATCTGTGGACATATCGCGTACTTTTGATGGATCATAGAGGAGTCTATCACTCATTATACAGCACGTCGAGGGTCTCATGCAGGGACAGACATCTTTCACGGCAAGGAACACTTGTAGAACCACCCCGTTGTATTTTCTATCAATTATCTACCCCCATCAAATGCCAATACCAAGGTAAGTATCCCATACAAATAAAGGCCCAATCAAATAAGTAGAAAGACATCAAGTCATTCAAAAGAAAGAAAGAAAGAAAGAAAAAGAAAGCATAAAATGCTATTGCATCTTCTCACCACTAGAAACCCCATCGCTTACGAACATAACCTGGCTCACGGTACGAAGGAGGCTCGTAAGCAGGTGGCTCATACTTGGGTTCCTTGACACCAGTAGTGGTAGAAGACTCCTCGGTGGCCTTACTTGTAGTAAGGAGAGTGGTAAAGCCAGTTGCCGCATCAGCGGTCGAGGCGAAAGAAGCGGAGGGCCACCCGTCGTTGGAGCTGGGTCCGAAGTCGTAGCCTTGAGGACCGGTTGACTCTGCAGAAGGCAGTGGTGTTTCGATGGGTTGTGAGGGAGTGGCGATCTCAGAGTCTGTTTGAGCAGTGGTGGACTCGATGGGGATGAACTCAGTAGGAAGAGTAGTCTGGGCTCCAACAGCTGTCTCGGTAGTACTCTCAAGATATTCTGAAGTGGACACTCCAGCTTGACCCTCTGATGTCTCGGCACTAGGAGCTGTAGTCTGCTCGATCACTTCGGATGTGGCAGAGGTATACTCAGATGCGAGGGAAGAAGCCGACGTGAAGGATCCAGCCAAAGCAGAAGAGTCAACGCTTTGATCGGCGGTGCTGTGGATGATGGTGGTGTTGTCGTAGATGTGAGTGTGCTTGGTCGACGTGCATGGTGCAGTGGTGGAAATCTGAGCTTCAGTTGTGAGAGTAGACACTCCAGCAGCTGTGGACCCAGCAGTAGGAACGGATACACCTGAGCTGACATCCTTAGTTGAAGCAGGGCTTTGTCCTGTCTCAGTACTAGCACCGCCAGCTGAGGTGGATGTGTCGATGGCCTCAGTGATCTCCTCAGATGTGGATACCCCCGCAGAGGCATTGTAAACAGTCGAGATGCTCTCCGTAAGTGTGACCTGACTGGTGATAACTGACTTGAGTGTAGTCGTTGAGACTCCTTCAGGGATAGTAGAAGCGCCAGTGTCTTCGGAGAGGGTAGAGCTGCCTTGCTGAGAGACGTAAGTCTCGGTGCTCAAGCCCTCAGTTGAGATCGACCCTGTATCGGAGGGAGCAGACTCAGGAACCTGTTCAGTTGTGACCTCAGAGATTGTTGTAGACTCTTCGCCCTGCGGGAACTGAGTGGTGCCAGGTGCAAGAGCAGAAGAGTCAACACTCGGGGCAAAGGTAGGTATAGTCTCCAGGTTGCTGACGATCTCGGAAGTCGCCTCCAAAGTGGCAGTGCTGGTTGAGTATCCGTACACGGTAGACTCCAGCTCAGATGAAGTCCCTCCAGCGAGAGCACTTGACCCAATGGACACATCCGGCTGGGAGACGACACTGGAAGTCTCAGGGGTAGAGGTGTAGGAAGCAGAAGTGTTGGCGAAGATGCTGGTAGAAGGGATAGAAACATCAGGGAGGGAGATGACGTTGGTGAGAGTCTCAGACTTAGACAGGATAACCGAAGAACCAGTCGGAAGCTCGATACCAGAAGAAGTGCCAAGGTACTGGGTAGAAGTACACTGAGAGACGGTAGTGTAGCAGGAGAGCGCACACTCAGTCACTGTAGCCTCAGCACGAGGATAGAACCTCAAGCCAGCGGAGGGACAGCTGGTGACGGTGTCAGTGACTGTAGATGTCTCTGTCACTGTCACTGTCTCCTGTGCACACACAGCCAGTGCCCTGTACTAGTCAGCATCCCTCCCAGCCGAGAGACAATAAGAAACACTTACCAGAGCACCACGAGGGTGAGGCGAGCGAGGAAAGACATGTCCGGAAAAGTGAAGATTCCAGAAGCGACTGTATTGAGAATACGGCAAATGAGTTGAACAGAAAAAAACGAATGACAAGAAGCGCCAGATAATTTCCAGTGGTCTCACTCTGAGGATTTTCTCTCTCCTCAAAGTCTTGCTTCATCTCGACTCTTTATACCTCTCATTGAGGCCTCGCACGAGTTTTCCAACCAACCCCCTGATGCCGCATCCATGCCGTGGTACCGGAAAGACCGCGATGCCATTATTAAGGAGATGTGTCTATCCGCGATGTATGTTTCGTCTAGCCGTCTAGGAGATCATTCTACCCGTTCCGTTGCTTGACTGACTTCGGGTTCCGGCAATGCCATTGTGTTGGATGTTTTTGTTTGCTTGTTTGCTGAAGGGACCATACCGTGGCGACGGGAGTCGTTACGGTTTCCGATGCTTCAGCCCGTTTGTAATTCCCGTGAGGTCAAAAGTGGCGGATAGACTTGGGATTATGTGAGTTGGCAGAGTGAAGCGGGTGAATCAGTATAACGTCTCACTGTCACATCCAGCGACAACGTATAATACAAGACTTTACTATCTTCTGCAAAATTTCTTGATGCAAATCGATCTCAACTTCCGATCGTGCGGGAACGTGAAGCTCACCCGTGCATGGATGCTATAACACAGACACGACACAAAACTTCATATTTACAGCTGAACAAAGCAGATCCGGAAATACACAAGAAAAGCTTGTACCGAGATACAGCGGCATTGTAGCTTGCATTCATGGTGTCACAGTGATTTCACGACAGGTTGCCTCAGACCGCTTCTCGTTTGCTGTGTGTGCGCATTTAGACGCGTGGCGTACATAGACATGCATACGGCAGCCTGCATATTCCTTGGTGAAATTGCACAGAACGCAACGGGTTCAGGAAAACGGGCTTTGGCGGTCAGAATTAGAACAGAGATAGACAGAACACGGCGTCCTGCTGCACGAGTCAGATGCATGGGTAGCCACCCGAGACTGAGTGTCACGAGTAGAGCACGTTGCCATGGTGTTTGGAGGTTTCACTGCATATTGAGAGGAAAGTCTTGAGACTGAGGGCTTTTTTCTATTGTTTGTGCTAATTCGACGGGATGAGTATGCTGATCACAATAGCTTTGTGTCCTTTGCGATATCATCGTTGGTTAGATGGAGGCGCGGAGGACTTTGAAGGCGTCCTCGCGGGTGCCGGTGAATCGAGCCTCAGCAGTCTTCCAGTTGATGACGTTCCAGATGTTGTCAACGTAAGCAGCCTTGCCGTTGAGATACTGTCACAGTATTAGCCGTTTTCTTGGCTCGTTGGAAGTAAAACGTACCTGGAGGTAGTAGGCATGCTCCCACATATCAACACCAAAAATAGGAACCTCTCCTCCAACAACAGGATCCTGATCCTTTGTCGTAACAATACGAAGGCCGTGCGTATCCTTAACAAGCCATCCCCATCCACTACCCTGCAATCCCAGAAGTGTCTTCTTGAATGCCTCCTGGAAAGCCTGAATGCTACCCCACGTCTTTGAGATCTCAGCGCTAAGTGTAGGAGCACTCTCGGGCTTGGAGTCAGTAGAGCTAGAAGGGCTAAGATTCTCCCAGAAGAGAGAGTGGTTGATGTGACCGCCGCCGTTGAACTTGATGGCTGATTGCAGGGCGATCTGGCCGGCGATGTCATTGGTTGAAGTAGCGGTTGCGTAGTTCTTTAGCGCGGCGTTGAGGTTTGTCACGTAGGCTTGGTGATGTTTGCTATGGTGTAGCTCCATGATTTGAGCAGAGATGCTAGGCTCAAGGGCCTTTTGTCATGGTCAACTTGTCATACTTTCACGATAGATATCACAGCGGGGAACTCACATCGTAGGCGTACGGCAACGCCGGAAGAGAGTAAGTACCAACAGACATGGCAGAAAACGACTGGATATTATCAGGAAGAGCAGTATAAGCTTGATTATGATCAGAAGCAAGATCAGGTTCAGACGACGAGGAGGAAGTTGAGACAAAGAAGAAGAGGGGTAGAAGCGGGATCCGAGAGAAGAACATGATGGAGAGCGATTGCGTCAGAGCTAGCAATTAATAATATCTTCTTGTTGCGTGCTTCCTCGGTAGTTGGTTGGTACGTATTCCGGGGACTCGAGTTCATCAAGGTGTTTGCTTGCTGTGTTGTTGATGGAGAAGAGAGTCGCACTAATTATTGCGCAAACTTGCTCATACTCGCTAACGCCTCAGAACCTTGTCGCCTATAAAGGTTGCCCAATTGGGAACGACGCTAGGTCTTGCGACTCAGTGATTGGTTCTTGTCCATGGCTTCGACTTGGATGAGAGACTTCGAGAGAGATACGGCAAGTTTCAGACTACCAGCTAGTAGTGAGTATATCTTGTAATAGTTATATTTGTTCTTAATGAACTATTTCTCTTCGTTTTATATTCTGATCTTGAACATTTAATCTCTGCATCACCAAGTTCCACCAGTGCATGTACACTGACCAAGTCATCGACATCACCATGTGCGGCCCAGAAAACACAAACAGACCTCGAGGCGGCGCTCTCGCCGCTCTCAATCCTCCCAACAACTCTATCTCATCCAATATTTGCGGTGATCTCGCTTTTCACACTCCCGGAAGTCCTTCGAGCTCAAGAGCAACACACGCAAGACTCACACCAGGTGAAGAGTGCAGTATCAAGGGCTTCTCTGACTTATACGTTGTTATTCAGTAAGTCTCATCCTTCTGCTTCCCTACAGTCCGGTATTAACTTCCAGAAGCTCTAGTGGTGACTTGACAAGAAACGCCAACGAATGTGGACTCTTCCGCCAATTTTCCCTCCAAACGCCTCCGACGTCTCGCGAGTACGTCGAGTTGCCACTTCAAGGGCCATTATCACTTGAGGTTGGCGGTGATGGGATCATAGGAAGACGTGTTTCAGTATACTCAAGGCTGGCCTCTGGAGACAAGATCGTTGCTGAAGGTATCGTCGGCTTCAATTTCATGAGCCAAGCAGCACCTGAAGAAACGTCTTGTCCATCGTCGCCTTCTCCATCGCTGTAGTGAGGAACCTCTATGGCTTGTGGCTACAGATCCAGGGCCATCAAGGTGGATGAGTTGCGTCCTGGGCGGGAATAAGAAACACGGTGGATTAGCTCAGTTGGTCAGCCATCGTCATCATCATCATCATCATTCTGGCGTCAATTTTATAAGGGTTCTCTTTTTTTAATTTGGAATTGGTATCATGTCTGTGGATGAGGGACGGGTCAGCACTGTGCAATTTAACTTCAAGCATGCAATCAAGGAGGCGTTGGCGACATGGCGTTGCGATCTTTCAAATCAGAATGTATGAGATCTTTTATTCTCATAGCGCCCCCTGGACCTTGAAACCGTGGAACTCCATCTTCGCTTCTCTTGCAGTTTTGCTGTGCATGATTCTGTCTCTCATACTCCTCCATATCAGCAGCAAGATACCTACCCAGCTTCGCATGAGTATGTTCAGACGCCTAAATTGTCAAGACCTTGAAGAGTTGATTGGATAACTCAATTCGATTACTGGGAGGTTATTATTTGTCCGTTAAATCATGGGTTCGCTGACGGATATAAAAGCGTCTCTTCACCCACCTTGAAACGGCATTGATTGGCATGGATAACTACACTACCAACACAACACCACACCATCATCGTCAACACCAAATCACTTCCACCGAGACAAATGTACGAACAAACATCAAATACTCACTTGCTACAATATCTTTCCATCGTAATATTTAGCCACAAAAGGCTGCCTCATTCATTCAGCCTACGTCTGCAACACAGCCACGCACAGCCACATCAACCTCACCCACTCCCTTCTCCATCACCGTCGTGTCAGCCTCGCTCACCAACCACTAATAGTCTAAGAATATCAACCACTTCAGCCATCCATAGAAGCCAAGCCAAGATGTCCAAAAACAAGAAACCCCAGTTCATTTTCCAACTCCTCCTAATCAGGGTCCTTCCTTCCCTGTTTCACGGCCCAATTCCCTCCCTCGTTGAAATAAATCGCCCATAACCAACAACCAACAAACAGACTCTCTCTCTCTCTCTCTCTTTGTTCCTCTCGTCATTCATTCCCTTGTATCCCTACCCACCGCCTTTTACCAAAATACAATGCCCTTTGTCGCAAACACCCCCGAGTCCTACCTCAACCGCTCCGACTCAAAAGCCGTAAACGGAACATGTCGAGGATTAACCTCCAATGGCCGCCCGTGCCGTCGCGCCGTTCAACAGACGGCGCCCAAGACTGACAAGCGCGGAAGACCTGTTACTCCAGACCCTCGTGATGAGAGTCTCTACTGCTGGCAGCATCGGGAGCAGGCGAATATGTCGGCGCATTCGAGTCCGGGACCTAGAGCTACATCAACGCCAATCTTGGAAGGACGAACGAGTTTGGATACGCTTGCGGATAGGTTGGGATTGGTGGATTTGCAGGAGAAAAAGAAATATAGGAGAGATACTGAAGGGCGAAAGCAGAGCGCGCCGAGACCGAAACCGCAGCCCAAGCAGTCTCTTCTGTGTTGCTGCTTCTCAGTGCCTCTGCAAGATGTCCAGGAGCCCCAGCCTTCACGACCTCAACCTCGTCCAGTCCAGAAAACATCAGCTTCGGTACCGCCCAAGCGCACTTCAAAACAACATCTCACCGCATCGCAAAACAACTCTTCCGCTAAAAACTCTCGACGCTCGCGCAAATCCACAGGCTCGCAGACAGCACAGATCAAAGACTTCATTCCCGACACTATAGACACCCAGACCGCCTCAGCGCTTATGGCCGAACTAGCTCGTCCCTTTGGCGCTTCGGAGGAACCTGGTTTCATCTACATGTTCTGGCTCACACCTACATCCCAGTCGTCAGCCGCTCCAGTTGACGCCGCACGTTCGCTTCTTTCTCCACCGTCACCGAATCAAGCACCGCGATCTCGAAGCGCTAGTAACGCTGTTTCAAGTTTCGCAGCCGCTGATCCATCAACGTCAAAGAACACCATGCTTCTCAAAATCGGTCGCGCAGCAAATGTCCAGCGTCGTTTGAATCAATGGCAGCGCCAGTGCGGTCATGAAGTTGAGATCCTGCGATATTACCCTTATCTCCCTGGGTCGCAGGAATCATCTGGCGTGGTTCCCCATATGACGCAGCATGTGCACCGAGTAGAACGCTTAGTTCACATCGAATTGGCAGGCATGGGTCTCAAGAAAGACGCCGAAAAATGCGATGCTTGTGGGAGAGAGCATCGTGAGTGGTTCGAGGTGGACGCCACGAGAGAAGGAATCAAGGCCGTCGACGGAGTCATAAGACGGTGGATAGAATGGGATGAAACGATGACATGAAATTAATGATTACATTGCATAGATATATACATATAGCCGGCGTTGGGTTCACATGAATACACGAAGTTACGATCCACAACCCCCAAAAATGTCACGTTTGACCAGACACAAAGCTGCGATCATGGTATCTATAATATAAGAATAATCCCTCTCCCATCTATAAGTAAGCCCATGCCATCTCTCATGACTCGTAAGAAAGTTCTTTCGATCAAATGCACTTCGCGTCCAAATTCCCACGCTATACGAACCGCACCTCATCAAATAGACCTGCTCTGACTTGAATAAGGGCAGCTAGCTCAAAAAGGAAGGATTGTAGGATGATGACATTGGTCACGACGTGCGACACTGAAACAGTCGTTGTGTTCTCCCTTGCTTCTCTGGGTTGAGGAGTTTCGGGCTCTGGTGTATCCATATTTCGAGTCTCTCGTTGAGGTGTCGCAATCTTGGGTTTCTCTGGTTCGTCTTCCTTGGTCTCGGGGTCGTGAAACTCGGACTCACTGGGCTCAGGTTCATCGGCTTTCGAGTCCTTGCTCTCGGGTTCATCGACTTCCACTTCCTTTGCAGATTCGCCTTCTTCAGCATCAGCCGACGTGGTGCCTTCAACCTCTGACTCGACCGGTTCCATCGGTTCCGCAACTTCAGGCGCAGTCTCAGCGTCAGAAAGATCAGTCTCCGTATCTTCCGTCTTCGCATCATCCTCATCCTTCGCCTCCACAGGTAATTGCTCAGTAAGATCAGCCACAGTATCCTCAAACTGGTCCTCATCAGCTTCAGAGGGAGCCTGCTCAGTATGCCCCTCCCCCGCCGCAGCAGCTTCATTCTCTACAGGCTCAGGCATTGGCTTCCTGTCAAATTTGAGAGGAATAGGCTCAACTTTGACATCTGGCAATCCCACCTTCTTAGAGAGGATAGTTTGGTCCATGGCCGCAAATTCTGCCATCTGTCGAGCAAGCACTTCTTCCCTGGCCTTCTGCGCCGAATCAATAGTCTCGAGCGTTCTTGGTGGAGAGTGGCTACGTCCAGGAGTGCCTCGCCCCCTACTATGAGACGCTTCCTTGGAACTAAGCACAGACTTTCCAGGTGTCGCGTTACCACTTCCAGAGCTACGACCCAGCTCTTTGCGTCCTCGCGGGCTGCTGGCACGGCTCGGCGTTCCCAATTCGGACAGGAGACGATGCGCCAATCCTTCCAGTGCCGACGGTCGGGAGGGTGATGCGTTGCGCGATACCGCTTCAAAGCTTGGTCGATCTGGAGGATCTTCGCTGATGGGGGTCGGCCTGGGTGTAGGACCCGCGTGGTGTAACATTGCATCCGCAGTCCTGAAGGCGTCACGCCGTTGTTGCACCAACTCGTCAAATCGGGGAATACTCCTTCTGTAGGCAGCCACCTGCTCTTCAAGTCTTCTGAGAACGTTGAAAACACGTGGTAAAGAGGCCTGCGACCATTGCGGCCGTTGGCGGCATTGTTCCATGGCTTGTAGCTGTTTTTGTTCTGGGGTTGGTGATGGCAGATCCTCAAAATCTTCATCATCTTCACTCTCTCCATCTTCATCCTCTGTAGACTTACGTCTCGTCTTCTCAACCTCATCATATATATAAGAGCTTGGGCTTCGTGCCAACCATCCTTCGATCTTCATAAAACCGCAAACCGCCAAGTCAACAAGTGTCTCAGTGACGGACAAATTCGTCTCGACTTGATTTACGAAGAATGTCTCCAGGAGGTCCAGTAGTGAGTTGAGAAGAGGGTCATCAGGTCGCAGAGTGTGATCTGCAACCTCTTTAGGCGCTCCAGGAAGACTGTCGGGCAGCCTCTGGTTACTCGTAGATGCCCTGGGCGCGACGAGCTTGAGGGAGCAAGGATGTGCTTCAAGCCTAGACATGGTATCTCGAAGGACAAGTTGATAGACCTCATCGAAGTCATCTTCACCTCCTATTGTTCCCGCCAATGACATAATGAATTCAACCTCTTGCTCTTGAGCGCCTACTGTTCTAGTGGCATTCTGAATAGGAACATTATCAGTTCTCAGCAGAGTGACAATAGCATATCGGTGGTGTCTCTTAAGAATAGCTGACACCAGTTGTAAGGTGACATGAATTGTTTGTTGATTCCGTGATCTCAAGCATGCAAGAACGAGATCAACCAGGTTGAAGAGTAGGGGCGTAGCAGCGGGTTCTGCCCTTTCTGCCAACATCGTGGCCAGGTCCATCGACTTTCTCTTGCGAGCCTTGCTGGCAGACGAGCTTGAGCTAGGACGGGCGGAAGCGATGTTATCGGGGAGTGCGAGGAGGTAATGAAGGATGAGGTTGATCATGTCAGGATGATCGAGTGATTCCAGGATACGGCGAAGATAAGTCAAAACAGCCACAGACGAGCCTCCGTCGATATCAGAGGACTCAAGTAGTGAGGGGTATCTAAACTGTTAGCGTAGATCGGGACGAGAGTCGCTAGGAACTCACAATAACTGTTGAAGGAAAATAACTTGGAAGTGCTCCAGCAGAGTCGACTTGACCTCTACAGACCGACAGTGGTTCAAGACGTCTTGCCAGAATAATAGATGAGATAAGAAGGTTTCAAGGTGAGATTGGAACTCGGGCGAGCATGAGCTGATGACTTCGTAGTTGGATGTAGGATGTTCGTAATCGGAGAAGGCGAGAATAGGGGGTAGGTTATGAGGAAGATGGTCAACGACCAGTTTCCGACTGAGCTGGCTGTACAAAGCGCCAAGGCCTGTCGCCATCAAAGTTGATAGGTCACTTTCAACAATCCATTGTTCCAACGGTCCTGAACTCGATGCTGCTTCGATGATGTAGAGCAGTCCTGTTCGCGCAAAGTCGCCCACCTTACCCTCATGATGGATATAGTCCATGAGAATATAAAAGAGGGGGAAGTCGGCCTTTTGTGTCCGTCCAATGAACGCATCGCGGGCGTTCTCATCCTTCTCCCTGTTCTGAAGCGCCACGCCGCGGTGTGTCTTGAACCATGCTGGTAGAATACTCGGGTCCAGCCGAATCTTGGTTGTGATGTTAAATGCTAGCTCGACGACACGAGACTCGGTATCCAGGCCCAGGCGCACGCTGTTGATGCCAGTAATTCGTACAAGAAGGTTCGTCAGGCTAGCGGAAAAGGTCTGGTTCTCAACAAACGCTTCCTCCTCGCTCTCGATCAAGGTCGCAAAGAAGAGGACGGCCTCCTTAATGATCCACTCATTGTACGAAGTCGTAGCGATCTTTCCAATGGGCACGTAGATTTGCTTGAGCGAGCAGTATTGAATACATGGATGCGGTAACGGTCTTCGGCTCTCGTCGCTTAGGATGTTGGTGAGTTCCTGAAGGCGGATTTCGAGGGTCTCGGCGGCGTCGCTGTCTCGAGATAGGTTGGATGATGCTCTCCAAGCAGACTACTCTGGTTAGTGCTTGTCGCCGGCATGGGCTGGTTTGCTGGTCCTCACGAGTAAGAGGCTATATTGCTTCTCGAACCGGTGAAGTCGTTTCGCAGGATCATGTCCTAGGTCCTTGCGGGTGCCCCCAGAAGAGAGAGGGCTCAATAAGCGCGACCACTGTATGGAAACAATTAGTTGGGTGTCGTGGTTGCAGTGGCAGATGGCGATGAGATACTCACGAAATCCATGACGATATTGGAGTCATCTCCCGGCGACTATAACTAGGGAATAAAGGTCACCTTGACCACATAACGGCACCGCACAGGTCCTTGTAAGTTGAAGTGTTGAGAGCTGTTGTCTCCTGGGACCAGGGACATCTGAGTGGGCATGTGGCGCTAGGTGTGGCTGAGGCGAGTGTGGCTGCTGGTTCAGGGTAGTTGTGACCCCTATTTTGAAAAGACTTATCTACTTCACTCTGCAGATAGTTCATCTTAGTTAGCAAAAGTTCACAGGCAGATCATTTGGTTGACATTTCACCTGCTGTGTCCATCTTTCCTGTTTTCTGATGAATGGGCCTTTGAACGAATGTCACACACGTGTTTGTGTTGGCAATCACATAATTGTTCGATGAAGCAGCATATCGTAAATCATAATACAACTCCAGCTCAAAAACTGAATCATCGGCTTGGTTTAGACGAAACTTCACGAGGTGGGGATCAACAGCCTTTTAATTTATCCTAACGTCAGGCTCTTCTTTGTACTGCCAGCCAGAAGGGGAAATGGGGAGGCCGAAGCTCACGATATTCAGCACAACCAAGGAGGACGATTACATCATATGGGAATACTGATAGGAGTTAAAGTCAACGTAGAGCATCAGAGACATCTCAGCCATCTCTCGACTTATGCTGACTACCATACATTGTGAACTGCCTTGGCCTGCTTTGGTCTCCCATGCATGGCGGCTGGCGCTATCACTCATTCTGACAAGCACCCCCAAAACATCTCCCACCATCTTCTGCAGCATCAGTCTGAATGATCAGTCTCTTGGGAATCCGAAGACTCGTATAGCTCAAGCATCATGCGGCGAGTGCGGCGACGTTCATGCTCAATTTCATCCCGGAGAGTCTGGTTTTCCTGTTGTATCTCGTCCACTCTCCATTTGAGGTGTTTGACTTCTAGTTCCATGGATCTCAATCCCAGCCGAAGTGTGCGCTGAATTTCCTGTTCGTGTCTTGCTAGACGTTCTCTGGTACGGCGCAGGACATTATTGTGGGAACGATAATCTGTGTCCATGGCAGCACGTCCCTTTGCAATATTGTCATCAAGTCGTTCATTGATACGCCGATCAAGGGCAAGAAAGCGGCGGTCAAACTTTTCCTCGCGATAGTAGTAGTGACGATCCTATGGGCATGTAAGCTCAACCAAGACGGAAAAAATAGAGGGAGAAGACTAACAGGAAGATGACGATGCTTGCAACGAGGAGTCTCCGTTTCACCAGTCGTGTCTTTAGCATCAGAAGCTGAAGCATTGGTGGCCGCTTCGGTGGCAGCCTCAGTGACATTTTCGATGGTCGAAGCCTGGGCTGAACTGGCGGCAGCTTTGGCGGTAGCTTCAGTCTCTTTGTGTTCTTGCTTCGCGATCGCTTGTCGAAGCTTCTCTGTGTTCTTTCGCATCTTGCGTCGGCGCTGGGCACTCGGTCGGGTGCGGGCCATATTGGCGACAAAGTTCGGACCTTGATGTTAAGTATTGATGTCAGGGGTATAGAGCAAAGGTTAAACACTTGGGGTTTTGGCAAGGATCTTGAGGTGTAAAGAGACAGAATGAATACCTACGTAGAAGACAGAATCAACAGAAGGTAAATAAAACCAAGAGAAGCTGTTATTTAGCTAGATAGAGTGCGGTAATGGATGACACTGGCAATGCACTGCCAGATGCCACTGCAAGTTGCTGCCAGCTGTCATCGCCAAACAGCATTCACCTTTCTCACAACCTTCTACCCAATCAGCACTGCGGCTAAATTCAGAATAGAGAACAATAGAAGGTGGCCACTGTGATTCAATGTGCGCTTCTTGTAACCAGCCCAGCCCTCTGCTGCCTATAAATTCTCTCTTCTCTCCCCTCTCTTCCTCCCTTCTCTTCTTCCTTCATCATCCCCTCACTTCTACAGAGGTCAACTTCAGCCAAACCCTCTGCTTCTTCCTTTATCCTTGTGGTGATCGTTCATCATGGCCAAGAAGACAAAGCTCACTTTACAGGAGCGCAACATGCTTCAAGCGCGGATATCGGTAAACTATTGATCGAAACCCGCAATAGCTACCATGTCTCACTGAGCGCCATAGACCGACATAGATATGGCAAACTAGGAGACTCCTCTCGATCAGGTATGTCTGCTTTCTTTTCTCATCCACCCTTGACTGCACTCCTCTTGTTGCCCCCTCTTCCCCGCATGCGAGCCAGGAGCATCAAAGCACCCCAACATAACGCCCCAGGTCATCGTGTCTGTTCTCAGATGCCACGACCTTGGATGTTGGGCCCCAGACTGTTGATCCAGGTGCTCATGTGAGCATCTCCAAGCTTAGCTTGGGCTGCAGTTTGGGTCGCTTCCAGGTTCTCAAAGTCAAACACCAAGGTATCCAGTTCGGCTTGAAGCGTAATTCGGGCCCCCCGTAGGGAGCTGTTTTTTCCGTCGAAACATTGGGTTGATATCTCCAGGCTTAGCCTGGGCACATCCTTGACTTTGGGGACCGCGGCCTCGTACCAGTATACCTCGGGAGTACAGTCCACCTTGCCTTTAAGTTGCGTCTTGGGCATATCTTGTGGAGCCTGTCCAGATGGTCAATTGGTTGCTCTGGAACTGGAAAGCAGGGTTCAGTGGTCGTGGCACCAGAGGTTTCAAAGTGCATATCGAGGTACAGACATACTCAGCTTTGGAACCCTTGGCTGACGGATGCGATTGGCAGGAAACCCTTGAAGAGTTCAACGCATCTCGCGAAATCGCCGCCATGAAGGCACGCCTCGACCAACAACAGGAGGATATCGAAGATAACAGCGAACTGATCACCATATCCGGTGCCCAGATTTCCGAGCTGGAGCCTGTTGTTGACAAGATCGAGGAAGAGTTACCGAGTGTCAAGGAAAAGCTCCACGCCTACTGCAAGAAAAGGCTTGACGCGTTCTCCGATGAGCTTGACGATATGGCTAGGGTCGACAGTGACAAGTGGAGCCGTATCAACGACCGCGTAAGTACATTCTTTTGAACCCTTGAAGCCATGTATGCTAACAATCTCTTCCCCTGTAGTTGATGAACTTGGGCAGCAAGTAGGGTATAATGTCCGAGTTGATCGACAAGGTGTCGGATGAGAATGCCAAGCTCAAGGAGCAGATGAAAAAGCAGAACTCTGTCCTCCTTAAACAGGCGATCGCCCTCAGAGAGGAGAAGGATGCCAACGCGCAGCTCAAGGCCGGCGTGGCCAGCATCATGCGTCGACTTGCCGCCGTCGAGGACGTCGTCCACCCAGACATGTGTGAGGCGGCTGAGAAGAAGCTTGGAGAATTGGGCGTCTCAGATACTCAGTGATGATCTTGGAGGATGGATATGTACGCAACAATGAGGTGAGAACTTCGATTTGGTCATAACTTGGCTTATTGGGTTGAGATATACGAAGAGTAGCTGAATGAACATAAGCGCGCTGCGACTTTGAAAAAACACTTGAATACTTGAAGATCATGATGTGATGTGATGTGGTTGCTGTAGTTTGTTCTTGAACAGCCGTGGGCCCCGATAACTGTGTCTGTTCCGAAGCCTGCCAATGGACGCACTTGCGCTGAAGTCCCCACTTGGGGATGAGAGGGACATGGTCAAGAGTATAAGACACAGAGACATCACCATTCAATAGACAAACATTTAACAATGGCACTACTTTTATTCACTGCAAGCGCTATCCAACAGCCTAGCCTGTCGAAATCGAACCAAACAACCGCTGTCCTTCCATCACAGCCATGCATCGCCCAGCCAAACTCGACCGCTCGCTCACCTGGGGCTCGTCGGATCACCATTGCTGCCGCTGCCGCTGCTACCGCCACCGCTGGCCCTGGTGCGACTTGCCCAGATGTGCTTAACCCGGTGAGAGTCCATGGGCGGCGACGCGTACTCCTCGCCGCTTGACTGCGTGAAACCGCTGACGTTGCTGAGCATGCTGGAACTACGTCCACGAGAGCGAGTCATGCGGGGTTCGAAGGGAGGCGCAGTGGGGGGAGGTTGCCAAGGAGACATGGACGGGAGAGTGGGAGCCGATGCCGAAGGGAGGACGTTATCAGAGGCGGACCAGAGACCAGTTGGGTAGTGAGGAGGAGCCGTAGGATCGGGGTTCCAAGTACTCGAAGTCGTAGGCTGGAAAGGCGGACCAAGGTGGGAGTGTCCTGCGTCAAGAGGAGGCATCATATCGTAAGACATGCCATTCGAGTTGATGTACTCGTGGAAACTCTGCAGCTGCATTTGCAGGTGTCGAATCTCCTCACTCTTGTTGGCATTGTTCGCACGAACATGAGCCAGTCGCTCGTTGTAGTTCGCTTCGATACCAGCAACATGACCCTGCCAAATAGAACGCTCCTGGTTTCGTCGTTCTGCCTCATCGAGACCGCGGTTGTTGGCGTCGGTGATGTTGGCAAGCTCGTTCTCAACCTTAGCAATTCGAGTCGCCACTTTGTTACGGCGGGTGTTGAGGTTCGACTTCTCGACTTCCTTGGCCTTGATCTCCTTCTCCAGTCCTGACTTGAACTCCTTGAAAGCCTTCTGAGCTGCCTCAAAAACCTTCTTCTCACTACTGTACTGCTTCTCGACCTTCTTTTTACGTTCGCCGAGTTCAGGTGCAGTGTCGAAGTTCTTGAGCTGATCAGCCAGTTGCTGGGTATCACGCTCTGCCTGGGCTTTCTGGGTCTCTTGCTGACGAATCTTTTGTCGGTACTTTTCGTCATGGTTTCCAGCTGAAGAGAGTTGATTATCCGTCAACTCGTTGTCCTTTTTGAGGGCGTTGGCGCGGTTCTTGTACTCCTTTCGTAGAGTCTTGAGGCGGGACCTCTCCTCGCTAAGTTTGGCTTCGACTGCAGCAATCGATGTCCTAAGAGTCAGGGCAGGCGAATCCGGGTGGAGGGAGCGCTGTCCGTTAGCAACGGGAGGTGGAACACCGTCCGCCTCTCGCTGAGTGGCCTGGACAGTTCGGATGCTGGTTGAAAACAAAACCTCATCAGTCTGGCTATCCACAAACTCACAGACATACTTGGAAGCAGGCCTAAGTCCGTAGATGTCACCAGTCCATCGAACTCCCTCGTGAGATTCTCCCGGGGACTCCTCGATCGGAAACATGCGAGTGGGCTGCCAAACAGCGTTGTTCACTCTGACGTAAAATGGCTTCGAGGTGTCAATATTAGCTGGTCTCGAATCTTCGCCTGAAGATTCAACTGAACGCGGCTCGTCGTCGTCGATTTCGGGAAAATGGCTAGTGTTAAAACAAACTTCATCGCTACCAATGTAGGATATCCAAATTTGGTTGGGTTGATTGTTGAACGGAGCATTACCAAGATTGTGAATGTCGGTAGCATTAGTGCCAGCAGACTCAGAGGCCGCATGGGATAACTCGTACTCCTTCACCACAACAATCTTGGTGCTCGCCAATGCCGCCCATAGTGGTTGCTGTAAACGAACTTGAGTGCTTTGCTTTCTTCTTTTTTTGCTTGTAGGTACAGTGGATGTCGAATTCAAGCCTGCTTCAGTATCAGGCGTCGCGAAGCCTCCTTCATTAGCCGTATCGCTGATCACACTTGGTGGCTTTCCGGCCTCAGGATCACTCGCACCAACAGAAGCGTTGGCTTTTTCGCGTCTGAGATACCATTCTCGGATATATCGCACAATTCCTTGGGTTAAAATATGAATGGCGAGAACACTTCGAATCCACCCGTAGGCAGACATCTTATCGTATGCGCTAGAAGCAGAATCGACTGGGTTATTGAAAACTTGGGGCAACCGCCAGTGCTCTGGTATGTGTCGAGCCACACGACCCCAGTGAGCTTTGGTTCCCCTGAGTAGGTGATGACCTATCACCCACATAAAACATGTGGTTAGGCCTCTCGATGTTCCATCCCTCGCACTCGTCCCCCCTCCCAGAGTGATGGCAATGACTGGCTTGGCAAAATCCAGGATAGCATCCTGGATTGGACCCCACAGAAAGAGCCATATCAGAAGGAAGAAGAAGTCAACACACAAGACAGTTACGAGAGAAGGCATGGTCGAATTGCCGTCGAAAATCTCGGCAAGGTTGATGCTCATTCCCGAACTGGTGGCGACGGGAGGAACAAAGGTAAGGAACGTGAAGATGGTGTATATAACGGTAAGCGAGAGCGAAGGGACGTGCATAAGAATGATGAGAATAGCGAGTGTGTCCTGCATAGGGAGAGACTTGAGAACCGTGGTTGCGAGGTCGAACGGGCCTGAGTCGCGGTGGACATCAGCGTTCTTCATGGCATTGACATCGATCTGGCGGTGGCCAGCTTCGACACCACTGAGGCCGTTGGCGTTGGACGAGTCGGACGACATCTCGGAGACGGCGTCAAGAGAGGAACGGCGGAGGTCGTCGGTACGGGAGTCATTGGAGGCATCATAGACACACTGCTTGTAGGGGCTGTTGGCGTGACCATTGACAGGCGTCGACTGTCCAGCAGCACCAGCAGCACCAGCAACACCAGCAGTACCTTGGTCAGATCGGCGAAGAGAGTTGTCGAGCAGGCCCGAGCCCTTCTTGTCAGAGGAACGCTTGGCAGAACCTACAAGCCCATTCTCATGGCGATTGTCGCGATGACTGGCGGCGCCTTGCTGTCGCTTACTCGAACCTGGAGCGCGAGGCATGCGCAACGACTTGTCTTGCTGCCACAGTCTGACGAACCCAGGAACCACTCGGGAACAGGGCCGGCAGCCGGGACAAGCCTTTCAGGGACAAGGGCTTGGTGCAAAGAGTTGGCGACTCGAGCGTTATGGCGTCTCGGTCGATTTTAACACGAGGGGACGGGTAAAGTATCGGGTCTCGGAATAATATGTAGTAGAGTTGGGAGGCGTGCCGTTGCGACAAGAAGGTTCGTGGTCGACATGTGCATTCGAATTGAAAACGGTCGGCAAAAGAAAACACGGGCGACAAAGGCTATGATCAAACTGATAAGGGCGACGACAAGAGGGGAACGAACTATCGTCAAAATGCAACAAAGCAAAACCTGCCAAGATCGGCCGGAGGGCCGCAGAAAGCAAGTAATGAGCGTTGCAAGGAGGTAGTTTTGATCGGTTACAAGATGATTTACAGTGGGATGTTGTCAAGTGGATAGTTGGTAAGATAAGGTAAGTAAGGAAAAAAGACAAGGCAAGGTAAGGTAGGGTTGACTGTTGGTTGAAGTCAGGTGGTGGAGGTGGGAGATTTTTTGGCTGTCAAAGCCCAGGCTTGGATTGGATTGGATTGAAAAGGAAACAGAAAGGAATAGAGAATAAGGAATGGAGTGGCAGAACGCAAAGACGATGGACAGATAGGAACGGGAATAGCGGGGAGAGGGAGACTCGCACTGTGCCAACAACAAGCCAACGCGGCTGTTTCTGACGCTGTTGGATGCTAGAGTCCACTGTAGTCCTAGTGGCTCGCATGATCTCAGCAGGGCTCCAACCTTTGAGTGCCAATGGATGGTTTGCGAGCTGCACAAGAGATGGATCCCCGTTGGAGTGCGGAACTGGGGCAGTTGGGTGCAGCTTATCCTAGTGGAGTGCGCGCTAAAGGCGCGTCAAGCTGAAGTTTTGAGTTGGGGATGCAGGTTTTTGCTGAAAATACGGAGTATATGAAGCCGTTGACGATGGCAATCTGCGATAGATCTTGAGGCTTGAATCGTTAAGGCTACGTACGATCATCTGGGTTCTTGCAAGTGGATCGATCACCCATAGTTAAATTCCGTTTCTGGTCGATTTTGGCTTGTTAAATGCCAGCGGATCAGGTACTCAGGAACAAGGTTGAGATGGTCAGTTTGAGGGTTTGAGGCGCTAGACTGCGCTCAATGGCTAAGTCTTGCCCACAGACGATGACGATCAGCAGCCGAGGATGAATATCAGTGTCTAATGCCACTTTCCAGCACGATGCCTTCAGACTTTAAGAACAAAAGATCATGATAGAGAGAAACGAGATACCAGATTCAGCGCATTCTGTAAATAGCGGCCTCATCGCGCTGAAAGTGGTTTTTCTCAAGTAAAAACAACTGATCCATTGGGGAGTCACATGCTCCACCATGAAACACTCCGTGCCTCCCACTGTGTGAACCCTGTTTTTAGCATAGCAGATGAGACGAGGCGATGGAAAGGACGGGAAATAATTGGCAGGGACCAAAGTCTTTGTCCACATTCGTCACAAGACCATTCTCCAGGTCGATTTGATTGACAACACAATGCCTGGCTATGTTGCTGCGTTGACGTTTCTTTGCAGGGTCTCATCTTGTTTCTGTCACAGTCTCTTAATACTGCGTTATATAGCCTGTTTCTCGTCACGCCTGGTTAGGTCTCAT